TTAGTGCCGCAACCATCCGTTTTACAAAATTGCAATAGCTTCACGGATGGAGGGCGGATCATTTTCAAAATGCGGTTATCGCCTTAGTGCCGCAACCATCCGCTTTTCAAATTTGCAAGAGCTTCACAGATGGAGGGCGGTTCCTTTTCAAAATGTCGCTCTCGCCTTAGCGCCGCGCATATTCGATTTGTCCCAACCATCCTGTGGTGTTGGGTCCTCGCTTTGAAGAGACGGTGCCCCGCGTTCTCCTCCTCCTCATCCTCCTCTTCTTCCTCCTCCTCCTCCTCCTCATCTCATCCTCCTCCTCCTCCTCCTCATCATCATCATCATCATCACCCTCCTCCTCCTCGTCCTCCTCCTCCTCCAACTCTTCCTCCTCCTCCTCCTCCTCCTCCTCCTCCTCCTCCTCCTCCCCCTCCTTGCCTTTGCTCTCCGCATGTCTCTGTTTCGGTACACCCCTCACACGCTTCGTGGCCCCATAGGGAGCTCCACCTAAGGCCACAGTGCCACCGCCCGCATGGCGCCGCCGACCCATTTTGGCACACCCCTCACACGTTTCGTGGCCCCATAGGGAGCTCCATCTAAGGTCCCAGTGGCACCGCCCGCATGGCGCCGCCGCCCCATTTTGGCAAACCCCTCACACGCTTCGTGGCCCCATAGGGAGCTCCACCGAAGGCCCAAGTGCCACCGCCCGCACGGCGCCGCCGCCCCATTTTGGCACACCCCTCACACGTTTCGTGGCCCCATAGGGAGCTCCATCTAAGGTCCCAGTGGCACCGCCCACATGGCGCCGCCGCCCCATTTTGGCACACCCTTCACACGCGTCGTGGCCCCATAGGGAGCTCCACCGAAGGCCCCAGTGCCACCGCCCGCATGGCGCCGCCGACCCATTTTGGCACACCCCTCACACGCTTCGTGGCCCCATAAGGAGCTCCATCTAAGGTCCCCGTGGCACCGCCCACATGGCGCCGCCGCCCCATTTTGGCAAACCCCTCACACGCTTCGTGGCCCCATAGGGAGCTCCATCGAAGGCCCCAGTGGCGCAGCCCGCATGGCGCCGCCGCCTCATTTTGGCACACCCCGCACACACTTCGTGGCCCCATAGGGAGCTCCACCTAAGGCCCCAGTGCCACCGCCCGCATGGCGCCCGCGCCCCATTTAGGCACACCCCTCATACAGTGGCACCGCCCGCATGGCGCCGCCGCCCCATTTTGGCAAACCCCTCACATGTTTCGTGGCCCCATAGGGAGCTCCACCGAAGGCCCCACTGGCGCAGCCCGCATGGCGCTGCCGCCCCATTTTGGCACACCCCTCACGCGCTTCGTGGCCCCATAAGGAGCTCCATCTAAGGTCCCAGTGGCACCGCCCACATGGCGCCGCCGCCCCATTTTGGCAAACCCCTCACACGCTTCGTGGCCCCATAGGGAGCTCCACCTAAGACCCCAGTGGCGCAGTTCGCATGGCGCCGCCGCCCCATTTTGGCACACCCCTCACACGGCTCGGCCCCCACACGGTTCGTGGCCCCATTGGGATCGCGGGCAAAGATAGGATTCCTATTTGCGGTATTCACAGTTGCATATGGTCGGATCCTTCGCCAAGATAACTCACAACCGTCCTGGTGTGGTGGGTCCTCGTTTTGCAAAGACAGCGCCCCGCGTCCTCACTCTTCCTCTCCTCCTCCCCCTATTCCCTCCTCCCTGCATTTCATCAACACCCCTGGTTTCAGCAGATCCTTTTCAAATTTCGTGGCCCCAGAAGGAGCCTCACCGAAGGCCCCGATCGGACCGCCCGCATGCGGAAGTTCCACCGAAGGTCCCAATGGGACCGCCCGCATGCGTCGCGCACCACCGAATACAACGCTCCGTGGCCCCATGGGGAGCCACACCGAAGGTCCCAGTGGGACCGCCCGCATGCGTTCCGCAATCCCAGTACAGCGCTTCGTGGTCCCATAAGGAGCTCCACGGAAGGCCCCAATCGGACCGTCCGCATGCGCCACGCACCACCCAGTACAGCGCTTCGTGGCCCCATAGGGAGTTCCACCGAAGGTCCCAATCAGACCGCCCGCATGCGTCACGCACCACCCAGTACAGCGCTTAGTGGCCCCATAGGGAGCTCCACCGAAGGCCCCAACGGGACCGCCCGCATGCGCCACGCACCACCCAGTACAGCGCTTCGTGGCCCCATGGGGAGCTCCACCGAAGGTCGCACTGGGACCGCCCGCATGCGCCACGCACCACCAAGTACAGCGTTCCGTGGCCCCGTAGGGAGCTCCACCGACAGCCCCCAGTGCCACCGCCCGCATGCGTCACGCATCACCCAGTACAGCGCTTCGTGGCCCCATGGGGAGCTCCACCGAAGGTCACAATCGGACCGCCCGCATGCGTCACGCACCACCCAGTACAGCGCTTCGTGGCCCCATGAGGAGCTCCACCGACGGCCCCAATGCCACCGCCCGCATGCGTCACGCACCACCCAGTACAGCGCTTTGTGGCCCCATAAGGAGCTCCGCCGACGCCCCCTGTGCCACCGCCCGCACGCGCCACGCACCACCCAGTACAGCGTTTCGTGGCCCTATAGAGAACTCCACCGAAGGTCACAATCGGACCGCCCGCGTGCGTCACGCACCACCCAGTACAGCGCTTGGTGACCCATAGGGATCTCCACAGACGGTCCCAGTGGCACCGTCCGCATGCGCCACGCACCACCAAGTACAGCGCTTCATGGCCACATAGGGAGCTCCACCGACGGCCCCACTGGGACCGCCCGCATGCATCCCGCACACCCAGTACAGCGCTCCGTGGCCCCATAGGGAGCCCCACCGAAAGTCCCAGTGGGACCGCCCGCATGCGCCACGCACCACCCAGTACAGCGCTTTGTGACCCCACAGGGAGCCCCACCGAAAGTCCCAGTGAGATCGTCCGCATGCGTCGCCCCCACCCAGTACAGCGCTTCGTGGCTCCATAGGGAGCTCCACCGAAGGTCCTAGTGGGACCGCCCACATGCGTCCCGCACACCCAATACAGCGCTCCGTGGCCCCATGGGGAGCCACACCGGAGGTCCCAGTGGGACCGCCCGCATGCGTCCCGCACACCCAGTGCAGCGCTTCCTGGCCCCATAAAGAGCCCCACCGATTCGTGGCCCCATAGAGAGCTCCACCGAAGGCCCCAATGAAAAGTCCACATGCGTTTCCTCCCACCCAACACAACGTTTCGCGGTCCATAGCGAGCTTCACCGAAGGCCCCAGTGGCAAAGTCCGCATGCGTTCCCCCCACCCAACACAACGTTTCGTGGCCCACAGAGAGCTCCACCGAAGGCCCGAATGGCAAGGTCCGCATGCGTCTCCCCCACACAGCACAACGCTTCGTGGCCCATGGGGAGCTCCACCGAAGGCCCCAGTGGCAAAGTCCGCATGCGTTCCCCCCACCCAGCACAAGGTTTCGTGGCCCATGGGGGGGCTCCACCGAAGGCCCCAGTGGCAAAGTCTGCATGCGTCTCCCCCACCCAGTGCAGCGTTTCGTGCCCCATGGGGAGCTCAACCGAAGGCCCCAGTGGCAAACTTTGCATGCGTCTCCCCAACCCAGTGCAGCGCTTCGTGGCCCCATAGGCAGTTCCACCGAATACGATACCTATAATTGCGGTACTCACAACTACATATGGCTGGGTTCTTCGCCAGGCTAATTTCTATGAAACAAAGTTCCACGGGTTCCCATTATCAGCGTACCAGAAGTTGTGTTGGAAGGACTCCGGATTTTGAGGGCGCAACATTTACGTTGATTCGCGGTGTTGTGAAGTCCCGGGAATGGCGTTCTGGCACGATTCAGGATCATCAAGACGCAACAATCAGGTTGACCCGTGGCGTTGGAATCCCGAGAACAATGTTTTGGCATGCTTCAGGGTCTTCAAGCGGTTGTCTTCCAACGAGGCAGTCGTTCCCTCAATGGAAATGAACGGTTGCAAGGGGCCTATGAAGAGGGAGCTTGGAGGGAGGGTTTATTCTAACATCGTTGATGACTCTTGGGTTTACACTGCTCCTCCTCCTCCTCCACGGCAGGGAGCACGGAGTCTGCGCAAGGCCCGCCCTCACCGAACGACTAAGTGAAGAGGAGGCGGAGGCGGAGGAGGAGGAAGAGGAGAAGGAGGAGAAAGAAGATGAGGGGGAAGAGATGTTGGGCGCAGTTCTCGCTTCAATGACTGTTTCGGAGCAGCCTGCAACAGCGCTCTGATCCTTGCCCCAGTGTGCGAGTCTAGTCGCGCTGAGACCTGTCGTTACGATCGTGTTGAACCTGAGACAGGCCGAAGTGGGCACGGCAGCCTTTTAGCACTCATGGCTGGTGGCTTGACAGGCACAGCACGACCACGAGAGGACAGTCGGAACCCAGCACCCCAGACCACGCGACTGGAGAAACTCACAGTCACATTCTTCCTTTGGTGGCGAACCTTGGCGTGCGACTGGCACTAGGGTCCGGCTACAACTACACCCTGGCTACACATGCTCGCTAGTGTTACGTAGGTCGGGCATGTCCCCCTACAGGGGGGTTTTCGACGAAACATTAAAGATACCCCAAATACACACCAAAATGGTCAAAAATAATCGAAAATCGTCCCCATACTATTTTTTGACAACTTTTGAATATTCCCCATGCAGAGGGACAGGCTCGACTTAACGTTAGTGGCGGCTCTGCACCACCACCGCCTGCACGGTACGAGCGCCACCGATGGAAACGCAGCAGGCTGCAGAAGGAGCGGACTGCTTGAAGCAAGGAGGAGGAGGAGGAGGAGGTGGTGGAGCTAGAGGGGCAGCGGCAGCAGGAGCAGGAGGAGCGGGAGGAACAGGAGGACCAGGGGAAGGCGGAGGGGAAAAAAGAGAAGGCAGGAGGAGGAGGAGGAGGAGGAGAATGACGGGGCGGAGGCGGAGGCGCAGGGAGAGGGGGAAGGGACAGTGCTGGGAGCTCTATGGCGCCAGCCACTCGGATAGATCATGCTGTAGCGCTTCTGCACAATCATGTTCTCCCAGACACATCGCCGAATGACATCGAAACGACTATTGATCCTCTCCTGGCGAGCACGCATGACTTATTTCGCGAGTGCTATCGAAGTGATACAATCTCGGACATGAAGACCTCAATTGTGCGCATACCAAGTTCGACAACTCCAGCCAGGTACTGCACCAGCAGGCGTGGCAGGCCGCACGCCAAAGAAGCGCGCACCCCCGCGGATCACGGGAGCCCTCCAAGAGCATGAAGACGGAGCTCCCGCTGGGAGGGGAGCCTGTGGCCCGCCAGGACGGCCCGAAGATCAGTCCTCGAGCAGTCTCAGTCAATGGGCCCCGCCGGGACGGTGCAAAGAGAAAGCCCCATGCGGGGACAGAGCACCACGGGGCTGCGAACAGCATCAGTGTGCCCACGGGGGCAGCAGGGAGGGCAGACTTGGCGCCCCGCGCATGCTGGACCTCCGGGGACGAGCTCCCCACGCTGTCCGTGGGCCCCCCACCCCACCCCCCCTGCGCCTCCTCCTCCTCCTCCTCCTCCTCCTCCTCCTCCTCCTCCTCCTCCTCCTGCTCCTCCTCCTCCTCCTCCTCATCCTCCTCCTCCTCCTCCTCCTCCTCCACCTCCTCCTTCTCCTCCTCCTCCTCCACCTCCTCCTCCTCCTCCTCCCCCACCAGTCCCTCTGAAGAGGAGTCACCGCACGGGCCTCGGGGCCAAAACCTCGGCACGGGAAGCCTCACCTTGGAGGGCGCAGTGGTCACCGAAACGGCCCCTAAGAGGGCCCCGAGAGGGCCCCACGACTGCCCAACAGGGAGTTCGTCAAGGAGGCTAAGAGGCCCCGAGTCTGGCCCACAAGGCTCCAAGAGGAGCCAAAATGCTCCGATTCGGGCGTCCGGGCCACAGGGGACGGCGGAGACTCGCCGAAGGCGTCTTCGATGATACTGGAGGCGGCATAGAGCACGGCGAGCTTGCTTCCCTTTAAGCGGCTGTGAGCGGGTTGGGTCGGAGTAGCTCGATGTTGGGCAAAAATTGGCAGAAGCAGGAGTGGGCATCGTTCCCAGGCGGGCCATAAACAGTCGTCGTCGTTGCAAATGCATACAGGCATCCGACATCGATACCCCGTGTTGTTTTATTACCGCAGGGCAATCCGTGCTGAACGCGCCGTGAGTGTTCATGGAACTGTGGACATGCAACAGAACGTGAGCAGCACGTTAATAAATACATGAACTCCATCGCACCCTGAAGTCATGGTGGCACGAGCAATGCGAAGGAACGAAGAAACTCTGCGACCGATGCCGCAAACAATTCGCTCCTGGTGCACCATTTCGCCCCTACCAAGCGCGATTCCTTCTGAGTTCCTTCTGACGGTCGTCAGCTCCCAGCGGAAGTCTGCTTCTGCACGCTGATTCGCTGCCTGGGCATAGTGGGTATGATCACCCCGCTGCCCCGCGCATCCGCCCGAACTTCTCCTCTGGGAGCCGCCGCTTTACTAACATAAATTGCTGTTAGAAAACGATCTGCCTACTAGGCGCCCACATTGCTCCGACAAGATCGCCTTCCCGCTCCACCGCTTACGACAGGATCTTGCCGTGACGACCCGGACGCTGGCTTCTGACCCCGCGTGGGCCGCCCGACCATGAGCGGTCGGCAGCTTGCCGGTAGCGCGAGCCGCTCGGTTTCGGCCGATGCCGGGCTACCCGCAGCGTATGGCCGCAAACCCCCAGGCTGGGGTCGCTGCCGCGTCGACACGACACTCGGGCGCACGCTGACATGGATTACGGATCCGCGGATCTGACGCGCAGGCGCCAGATCCGCGGATCGGGAAAGGTGCCCCCCGAAACACGAGGCCAAAGCAGCCCGATCTGGCGATCGCAGCGCGCCGACTTCGCACGGAAGTGGTCGCTGATCCACGGGTCTTCATCCACGTTTCCGTTTCCTCGAGACACGGCGCGAGCCTACCGTACCTCCCTCCGACAGCTCCCCACAGCACCTGTTCCTCCTCCTCCTCTTCGAGTTGAGCGGACTTCACTCCGCCTCCTCATCCTCCTCCTCCTCCTCCTCCTCCTCCTCCTCCTCCTCCTCCGCCTCCTCCGCCCCACCAAGCCTGGGCCTGCCGCTTGAGCAATTGCCGCGTTGCGGTTGCTGAAGGGCGGGGTGAACATGGCGATGACGATGAGCGAGGCTATGGTAGAGGCGGCGATCCGTGGAGCGGTCTCCGCGGCCTTCCGCGAGGGCGCGGAACCGATCGCGACCGCGGCTGCCGTCGCCCGTGCGGCACTCGCCGCCGCTGTTGAGCAAGCTGCGGTGAGGACGACGCCCTGCGGCGTTCCAGGGCTAGGGCAAGAAGCAGGACTGCGTGGACGCCATCGTCAAGCACGTCGATCACAACGCTAGCAAGGACTGGTAGATCGGCGGGGAGCTTGCGCAGCGGGGCACGCAGACCAATGAGGACGAGGGCCTGTCCGAGCACGCGGACGGCACCATGCAGATGAGCGACACTTTGGCGATTTTGGTGTTCGCAGAGACGTCGACGTTGTCGTCGAGGAGCCTTTCCACGTGGCCGAGGTCATCACCCCGAAGGACGAGCTGGACGTCGAGCTGCACGGCCATGACGTGAGCCTCGACGGGGCCCACAGCGCGGACGGTGGGCGGACGGGATAGACGAGGACAGCCTGCTTGCGTTCGCCGTCGACGAGGCCAAGTCCCTGGTCGAGGACGCTAGCGGCACCAAGAAGCAGGAGATAGAGTACGGCGGCCTGATCCCGATCGTGCTGCACACCATGGAAGATCACCAGGCCCAATACCAGCGCCAGGACGGCCAGGACGTGGACGAGGAAGGCAAGGCGCGCGACTTCAAGCAGGGCACCGCTGGGGCGCCCGTGGAGCTGAACGTCGTGCCCGCCGTGACGTCCGCGGAGGTCCAGACCCTGGTCGAGGACGCGAGTGGCATCGCGAAGCAGGTGGACGTGGACGGCGGCCTGACCCCGACCGTGCAGCACGAGATGGAGGACCAGCAGTAAGGCCAGAACGCGGACGGGGAAGGCAAGGCGCGCGAGTTCAAGCAGGGCACCGTTGAGGCGGCCGTGCCGCTGAACGTCGTGCCTCCACGACGTCCACGGAGGTCCAGGCCGAGACAGCGGGCATGGCTGACTCCGAGAGCACGCCGAAGGATCTCGACGGCCAGAACGTGGACGGCGCCGTCGGCGCTGGCTTGGTGCCAGCAGGCCCCGAGCTGGGCCAGCCGCCCGAGGATGCCCGACCTCCGCTCCCGTTGCAGGCGGAAGCTGTGTCGGGCGTTCCCGACGGGCGGCTCGCACCAGAATCTCCGCGCGACCAGGAGAGCGGCTCGCGGCGCGGGCGGACCGGGCACAAGAAGACTCAGAAGGTCGAGAAGGAGTGCGACTGCCAGGTCGAGCTGGCTCGCGCCGAGCACGAGCGCGAGATGGAGCGGCTGACGGTGCTGTGGAAGGCCAGCCTGGATAAGCTCAAGAATCGCAACGTGGGCAGCAAGGTGGTAAGCCTGCCCGTCGAGCAGCGCATGGGCAGCGAGGACGTCGAGACCACCTTCGTTGAGAAGATCACGGACAGCAAGGACAGCAGTGACGTAAGCCTGTCCGCCTTCGCTGAGAAGGCCTGGTAGCTGCCGCTGTTCGCGCAGGCGTGCGGCTCTGGAATGCTTGCATTATTGAGCCCCCTAGGGGTGAGGAGCACGCGCGTCGGGCCCTCCACCCCGGACATTGCGAGCTTAAGCTGTTTCCTGTCTCCTCCTCCTCCTCCTCCTCCTCCTCCTCCTCCTCCTCCTCCTCCTCGTCCTCGTCCTCGCCCTCATCGTCTTCCTGTTCCGTCTGCTCCTCTTCTTCCTTATTGTGATCGTCGTCGTCATCGCCGTCGCCGTCATCGGCGTCGCCGTCGCCGTCGCCGTCGCCGTCGCCGTCGTTGTCGCCGTCGCCGTCGCCGTCGCCGTCGTCGTCGTCGTGGCAATCGTCGTCGTCGTCGTCGTCACCTTCCTTCTCCTCCTCCTCCTCCTCCTCTTCCTCCCCCTCTTCCTCCTCCTCCTCCTCCTCCTCCACGCGGGCACCAGGGATGGCCCGAAGAGGCCCTCCATGGTGACCCCCACTGGTGCCAGAGATCTCTCTATTCACCCTGGTTGCCCGCTTTGTTTCACTATATGTGTCTCTTCGTCCCTTTTTCCCGTCAGCTCTCATGGGCAGGGTATTTGAATGGGCTGGTGGGGATTTGCGAGGCGTGAAGAGTATAAATTCAAATCATCCCAGTCGAACCCTACATCGACACCCACCCCTTCACTCCTGTCAGATAACGGTATGCGCACACACTCGTCTATCAAAAATCATCCACGTTCAAAGATCGGGTGCAGAAGTGTGGAAAACACACGCGTGCGGCGTAGTGCGCGCACGCTGAAATCTATCAAGAAAACCTCAAGTGTCGTAAGGATTGCAAGACCCAGGCCCCCGACAACATCTGAAAGAAAAATGGTGTTGCAACATACTGTTTCGAAAGAACCGATTCGCGCGCTCTTGCGAACTTGTATGCAATAACAGAAGTTGATACATATTCGCCACACAAGACCGTGCGGCCCTCGTGCGCACGCAAATCGGAATCATTCGAACGCCCTGCGCGCTTGCTCGGGGGGTACGATCCATGCCAAGCGGGCCACTCGCGCGCGTCGGCCGCACGCGCATGGCGAAATCCTTCCATGACCTTAATCACCGACACGTGGACACCATCATCGTCACTGGCATGACCAGCACCGGCGCCGTCGTTGACCGCACCACCGTCATCTTCATCATCGTCACCAGCATCGCTACTATCATCAGCATCACCATCGAAATCAGCACCCGCATCATCATCATCATCATCATCATCATCATCATCATCATCATCACCATCATCGGCATCACCATCATCATCCTCATCATCAGCATCCTCATCATCAGCATAATCATCATCATCATCATCATCCTCATCATCACCATCATCCGCCTGTTGTCGAAGTCACCGTGGCGCCGCACCCGCCCTTAGTCACCGACTCGTATTGAAGTGCCCGCGAGGCAGAACGGCCTGCGAGACGCGCTGGGAAGTCCCCAGCGGTCAGTGCCACCGCGGCCGCGTCGGTCGCGCCAGACTAGCTGGCCGCTCTGCGCGCGAGCGTGCGCGCGCCGGCGTGCGCGCGCTAGCGCGGCCGCAGCGATGCGCCAGCCAGCGCCAAGTAGTCATCGCAACCACTGTCGCCTATGGTTTGCCAACTAAGTTGCGGGTAGGTGGGTGGGATACTGCACGAGAAAAGGAATTGACAGCTCCAAGTTCTTCAAAAGTAATTGAACCACATACACTGCACCACATAGAATGCACAACATAGGTTGCACAAAATGTATTGCACAATCTAGATGGCGCCACCTAAATTGCACCACCTAAACTGGCTCGTTTATGTTGCGCAACATACACTGCACAACCTCTACTGCAACACCACAATACACAACATGTGTTCCACACCAGCTATTGCGCAGCATGTATTGCACCACATATAGATTGCACTACATATAGGGTATCACATATGTTGCATCACATATGATGCACAGCACAAACTGCACCGCATATATATATATATATATATATATATTGCACGACATATTTTGCGCCACACGGGTTGCACAACGTCGATGGCACAACATAGATTGCACACAGTATATTGCACAACCTAGGTTGCACAACGTGTATTGCTCACAACTGTTTACATAACATGCAGTGCACGCAACAGATGGCACTGTATACATATATATATATATATATATATATATATATTGCACCCCATCGATTGCAGCACATGGACTGAAGAAGAAAAAAAAACTATATTGTGCAGTATGTATATATGCGCGTTGCTAGAAACACACGGTTTGGCGCACACGCTGGCCAATATCCGTGTATATCTGTATATACACACACCTGAATATTAGAAAAGAGAACAAATAATAATGAGAAAAGAGGGAGAAAGGAATGGGAATGGACGGACCGGTAGAGAGGGATGGAACGGAACAGGAAAAGCACGGACGGGTGGGACGCGGGCGGTGCGAGAGCCTGAAGCGCCTCGAGCTTGGAGGACACCCCGCGTACGACCGCGGTCGAGAGGACCGCGTAGCCGAGCTCGCACCAGAGAAGCCAGCCCGGTATCTCCAGACCTTCACGCGGAGAGGGGAGAAGCGGCGGGGGGAGGGCAGAGGGAGGGAGAGGGAGCGGGGGCGAGGCGGAGGGAGGGGGGGCGGCAGCCTCCGCGGGGCGACAGCGCAGGGGCAGCCCAAAGGGCTGCCCCTGCGCTGTCGCGGAGGAGGAGGAGGAGGCCGTAGCCACTTTGGCTCAAGTTGCCACTTTGTCAAGGCAGCTGGCCAGGACAGTGACTTAGTGGCAGGCGGTTTGGCAGGCGGCATAGCCTCGCCCGCCAGGCCCCTGAGCTCCTGAGGGAGCACGGCTTTTCCCGCCCGCGAGGGCATTCACGAACCGTGCGGATTGGGGATGGATGGGCGCACAGTACTCAAGGGGCCGAAGACGCCCCATTGGGGCTGTGGGCAATGCGGCAGGTCGCCCAACTGGGCCTCACGGGTCCAGTGCGCGTGCGGGGCTGCTGCGCCGAGAACGATTGTGGATGAGGCAAAGGCTGCAGACAAGACTGCCAACGGCGGCGGTGGAGGACGAACGATCTGCCACCAAGGCCCTGGGCAGCGAAGTTCGAGGCACAACCCAAGCAGATTGCGGCGCTCAATTCCAAGATCGACAAGATGGCCAAATCGGGTCCAGGGGCTGCTCCTCCAGCCTGGTCGGGCTCGACCCGGGGGCTGAAGTCGGATGCGACGGACGAGGAGGCTGACAAGTGTCGAGAGCGGATTGAGATGCTGTCTCCAACGACTCAGAACATGGGTGTAGAAAATGACAAAGAGGTCATTTCGGGGCTGCAGGCGAAGCTAAAAGAGTCACGTAAGCAGCTTCAGAAGCTCAAGCCGCAGCTCACCCAGCACACCAACGCGGGGCATGCGCTTGCAGAGTTGGAGCGCAAGCGGGCGGCGGCCATCCAGAAGAAGGAAGAGCAGGAGGATGCGAAGGCGGCTGCCATCCTGGAGATTGGCAAGCAGGAGGAGGCAATCATCAAGTTGAATGCGGAGATTGCGCAGGCCAAGCGGGCGCTGGCGAGCACCATCCCAGATGACGTTTTCTTCGGTTGCAACGAGGCCGAGTTCAACGGAAACCAGAAGGGACACTTCCCTGAGTGGGCATGAACCCTTGTATGGGGCTATGCAGAGGGAACTTGGAGGGCGGGTGTATTCCAGCATCGTTGACGAGTCTTGGGCTTACACTGGACAGCCTCCTCCTCCCCCACCTCCTCCTCATCCTCCTCGTCCTCCTCATCATCAGCATCATCATCAGTATCATCGTCATATCCATCGTCACCATCATCACGATCTGCATCATCACCAGCATGATCATCATTGTTCTCATGAGTATGATCCTTATATGTACTAGTAAGCGTTACTATAAACAACAATAGTACGACTTGGAATCATCCTAACCATCATCATCATCATCATCATCAACATCATCATCATCATCATCATCATCGTCATCATCATCAGCATCATCGTCATCCTGCTCATCCTGCGCCTCCTGGTGATCGCCCTTATCCTCTCCCCACCTTCTCTCCGACCAGCCATGGGAGCGCAGGCTCGAGGCGTCAGCTCCTACTCCTCTACTTCATCCTCCTCCTCATCCTCATCTTCCTCCTCTCTTCTTTATGTTCCTCCTCCTCTTCTTGCTATTATTGCTAATAGTATTATTAGTTTGACTTTTCTTCGTAGTAGCAAGACTGTTTTTCTTGCTATTACTATCAGTATGAGTATGATGTGTCTTCTTAGTGTTATGCCTATCAATAGTACTCTTCTTTCCTAATAACTACGGTTATCAATACAACTATTCGCTTTATTTGAATCCATTTGTTCTTACTATTATTGTTTTTATTATTATTATTATTATTAATCCTCCTCCTCCTCCTCCCCCTCCTCCTCCTCCTCCCCCTCCTCCCCCTCCCCCTCCTCTTCCCACCACTCTGCCCTTTCCCGCCACCACCACCCCAGCCCTCCCCTCCCCTCTCATCTTCCCGCCAATCCTCTTCTGCCCCCTCCCCCTTCCCCTCCCCCTCCTTGTAATCGGTCCTCCCCCTCCTCACCCTCCATGTCGTCGTCGTCGCTCGATGCAGCAGTCCTTGGCGGCCAACGGCGCGGGCGCCGACCAAAACCCAGCCCGACGCAGCGGCCAGGTGAAGAATCCAGCGCCCCCATGTCGGATACGCCCCTTGGCGCTTATACGTGCGAAAACACATGCCCAACGCACGCATGTTTGACGCCCCCTCTCCACAAATGTATTTGCAAATGTGAAGAATCCGGCCCCCCAAAGCTGGGCATCCCTGTTTGAACCTACACGCGATTGCATACTCGACACCCCCACTCCGCACACGTACTTTCACGCAAACGTGCGAAACGCACGGTCAGCACCCCCCAATCCGAGAACGTATCTCTCATGTGAAGACTCCAGCACGTCATCTTGTATATCCACCCTTTGCACCTACGAGCGTGAAACCACGTGCCAATGGCACGCGTGCCAGACGCATGTTCGACAAACACCCTCCGCGCACACCAGGTCGGATAAAACCCTCCTGGCGACTACACGCGTGGAAGCTCGTACGAAACGCACGCGTCCCAGCCGCATGTCCGACACCCCACACCCCCACCGCGCGCGCATTCTTACATGTAAAATTATGTCCGCATCATGTTGGGCAACTCCCGCTGGCGTCGACGCAAATGAGACTTCGTATCAAATACCCGCGTGCCAGACACACATGTTCGCCCCCCCCCCTGCCCACGTATATTTTCGCGTGAAGAGACCAGCGCTATCATGTTGGAGACCTTCCTTGGCGCCAACACAGCCAGCAAAATGTTACAACAACATCCACAAGACGATACGGACAACGCTGACAGGAGGATCATCAAGTGAGATTCGTCTTTCAATGTTGGCAGCGCGCGCAGGAGTGCACCAAGGGCAGGTGATCGACATGTCTTATGTTGGCTTGCGCGAAACATTGAGAGGCGCATGCCACTTCATGCCTGAGTGTTGTTCCTACTTGGTCCTTCGCCGGGCCACAGGCATTGATGATTTCAAGTCAAACCTTACGACTTGAGCCCCATGGAGACGCCTGCCGTGCACCGCGCAGTGAACCGTTCAGGGTGTTTCGTGACATTGATAGGCGGATGGCACTTCCTGCGAAGGGTCCCGAACACAAGGTTTCAAAAAACGCTTTTTTGTTCTAAACTTTTTCACGGGGATGCATTTACGTGAAATGTCTTGCCAAACGCACGCCGGGGCGCATGTTGCATACCCCTTCTGGCGCCTACCTCCCCTCGCGCAAATATTTTACGTGTGAACCCCCCCTTGCCGCCCGCACGCATGAAAATACATGCCGAAAGCGCGCCGGAGCGCTCGTTGGTTACCCATCTGGCGTCCACATTGTCTCGTGCATGTACTACTATGTGTCCTAATCCGCCGGCAAATCCGACGCACCCTGCTTTACACCCCTCTGGTCTAGGACCTAGGGCCAAAGGCCCGACGGACAAAAAGAACCCTGGGCCAAAGCCCTGACCAGGAAAAACGCGCAGCCGACAGCAGACCTTTGACACCGAACGCATTCTTGGGGCTCAAGTTCCACACCGTGAGCGAGAACACGCACAGCTGGATCATGTTGGAAACGAGGCCCGTGACTAGGCGAATCGATCCTGATATGAACGCATCCGCATCCTCTTGAATGCGCTGGTCGGGATTGTCCGCATCTGCGCCACCCTGTGCGCCGCTTTATCTGCCATCGTTTCGGGCTGCATACGCTCAATAAACATGCCTCGGCGAATCCAACAGCATCTAAAGAGAAATTGGGGATAATGTCGCTGTCAGGCATGTCTAACAGAGAACCCCATTCATTGGGTCCGACTAACAGAAGCACAAAAGTGCAGGCTCAGGGCGGGCTGGCTGGCCAGCTCCGCAATCCTCATTCCCAGGCCAGGGCAACCAAGGATAGACCACTTGGGCTTCGAGGGGATGAGCAAGGCTGCAATGCTTTGCACCAGCGCTCGGGATTGTTTCTGCCAAGTGTGCTGCGGTCTGCACCCTGGAACACTACGATAGTACATGCACACCACGAACAATATCAGCGCGCACTGTACAAGAGCCACTGCGTAAAATTGACGAACGAAGCCACCACGCATTTTACGCACGCAGACCAACAGCCCCTGCTAGCGGCGAGCACATGGACACAGAGCCTGCAAAGCCGAACAGGCTGCTAGCAAGAGGCCAGTCGCTCACTCCAGTACCGGGCCATTCATGCCAGCAGCACTGTTCCCGTGCAGATAGGCAGCCACTGTGTGCAAACTGGAAGAGCACTAATTCGCGTGCGCTGCACCCCGCTCTGCGTTTGATCGAGTCTACATGAATGAATACGACATGTAACGTGTAACCCACACAATGGGTTATTGCACTCGATGAGAGTTCTATGCAGCGCAATCTACATGAGGAGTGCAAAACATGTGGTGCAGTCTATGCGTTGCAGTACCACCTGCAACGTTCGTGCAAACATCCCGTATCACCCACTGGCAAATTGCTGGCAAAACTCACCTTGGCAGCTACAACGACGATGGCGATGACGATCATGTTGATGATACTCTCGACGACAATGGGAACTATTTCACGACCATGATGGTGATGGTGATGAGGCGGACGGTGATGATGGCAATGATGACGCTGGCGATGACGACGACGGCGCTGGTGAGGATGATGAGGAAGTGCGCACGCGTAGAAAGCTGACGACGACGACGACATCGACGACGACGAGGATGACGAAGGTGGTGATGACGACGACGGTAATGATGGTGATGATGACGATGATCTTGATGATGATGACAATGATGACAACGGTGGTGGTGATGATGATGGTGATGACGGTGATGATGATGACGATGATGAAGATGACATTGACGATGACGATGATGAAGATGGCAATTATGGCGCTGGTGATGGAAAACATTGTGATGACGAGGATGATGAGAAAGCGCACGCGAATACAATACGAAGTCCTGGTATAGCTTGTATTGAAAAACCAACAGGCTTTCGTGCGCGACTGCAGAACACTGCTCTTGCCAGAAAATGAATTTGAAATGTTCTCGACGCGCGCACGCAGAGACGCGCGCGTGGCCCGCATTGCACGTTTTGTGCACAGTTGGCGGGTATTCGATGATTGTTCACCGGTGTCGCCATGAGCACGCGCGTGGCCCGCATGGAAATAACTGCGAAAAAAACGCTGGCTCTTATGATGCCAGCGAAGCCGCGCGCTCGGAAGTCTGTCAACTGCGTGTTGAAAAGCTAACGGCTTTGGGATATTCTTGAACGGCTCCGCCTTGCAAACGTAAAAAGCCAAATCAGATTAAATGACTTTGACACGCGCGCAAGCATGCGCCCCACACTGATTTGCTAACCAGGGAGTATTTGAGAAAACATTTCTTGTATCAAAGCATGCGCACCGCATGATACTGCTAGATAGTGAGGATGAAGCATCGGGCAGCAGAACAACATCGATATCGACGACGACAACTTGGGCGGCGATGACGCTTGTGGTGATGATAATGACGGTGGCAATGATGCCAGCGGCGATGATGATGACAGTTGTGATGGCGAGGGCGATTTGGAAGTGCGCGCGCACCATTTTTACGAGGGCGACGACATGTACGATGAAAATACCGAGGACTGCGATGACGATGACGGCAATGATGGCGACGGTGAGGACGATGAGGAGGTGCGCGCGCAGAAACTTCACTGGGGCGACGACATCGATGACGAAAACACTGACAAGTGCGATGCTGACGGCGACGAGGACCACTACGATGGCAACGATGATACCCACGGTGCTGAAGACGCGGGTGCCGATGAGGATGATGAGGAAGTGCGCGCGTGCAGCAAATCCGCACTGATGGCATTGTTGACCATTGCACGTCACTTGAATTCAAATGTACTTGAAAAACTAACTCTTGAACATAAAACAAATCATCTTGAACGGCTGCCAACGTGCGCGAGTGAAACACGCGCGCGTGGCCCCCGTTGTACTAGTTGACAAAGTTGGCGCGCGGGCGATGACTGTTGGATGTTTTCGACATACGCGCGCGCGCGCGCGCGTGGTCCGCCTGGCCTGGTCTGACAGAGAGGCTTCACAGCTCTGGCATACGTGTGACATCTGCGAGTGCGCGCACGTAGACGTCTGACACTTTGGATGAAAACACCTATTTTCGAAATGCGTTTAAACAGCTATATCTTGAGGTGGTTTAAAGATCAACGGTTTCGGAAGGATTCTCGCACGCGCACGCGGTCGCACGCACGTGGCACGCACTGCATTCGTTCGCGAGGACGTCTTAAAAAACAACTCGCATTATACCAACGAATGTGCACCGCACCAAATCTTTGCCAAACGGGGGAAGCGATGCCGGAACTGGCTGGCATGATTTAGTTGATGATGTGTATATAGATACACAAACATAGATGTACACATACAGATATGCGCATGCATGCGCAGTCCCCCCTCCCCAGCACCCATTCGTTGTGCATCGGTACTTGAGCTTTGCATTCGTATTCTTATTGGTCATGCGCCTTCTTTTCACATGCGCCTGCTTATCCACCCCTCCTATTCGTAATTTCTCCGCTGTTCTTTTGTGCTGGGATCTGATTGGAATCAGCTGGATGTGGGATCTGCTCAATTCTAGTTAGATTACGATTAAATTCCCATCAGAATCCAAATGAACACCGCCGGATCTGGGATGTGACGAATTTCAAATAGATCCGGGTTTAGACTCCAATCGGAGTCTAATTAGAATCGGCTGGGTGTGGGATCTACTCAAATTCAACTAGATTCTAATGAGACTCCAATCGGAATACACTTGTAATCAGCTGGATCTGTGGCCTGCCCAAGTCGGATCACATGTGAATTGGGTTCCGATAGGAATCAACTTGGAACCAGCTGTATCTAGAATCTGCTACACTCCCATCAGATTCTAATTTTATTACACGAAGAATGTACTTGGAATCAGCTGGATATGGGATCTGCTCAATCCCAATTAGGTTACGAGTAGATTGCAACCTGAATATAATTGGAACCAACGGGATATGCGGTCTGCCGAGTTTCAATTATATCCGAATTAGATCCCACTGGGGGTCCAATTGGATTCAGCTGGATGTGGGATGTGCACAATTTCAATTACATTCTAAGTATATTCTGAATCGGAATCAAATGAGAATCAGCTGGGCCTGAGATCTGCGCCATGTGACTGGGATTGTCCAAATACTCCCATAGGAATCCCATTGGGATCGGCTGGATCTGGGATCTGCGCCGTTCCAATTCGCTTCTTATTAGATCCCAAGAAGAATCGCATTGGAATCAGCTGGCTCTGGCCCCTGCTTAGTTCCAAATAAATTGTGATTAAGAATGCAGATGTAATCAGCTGGACCTGAAACCTATCAAACTCCAATTACATTCACATTAGATCCCAATGGAAATCGAGGTGAAACCAGCTGGATATGGCATCTGCCCCATTCAAATTACATGCGGCTGAGGTTCCGAAATGGAACCAATTGGATTCAGCTGGGTCTGGGGCATGATCAACGATAACTCGATCATAAGTATATGTCAAAAGGAATCAGCTTGAAACCCGCTGGATCTGGGACCCATTCCAACCCATTTCAGACGATACCTGGATTAGATTAGAAATCCCATTGGAGCCAGCTGGATCTGGGACCTGCACAATTCCAAGCGGATTTCAATGTGATTCCAACAGACATGTAACTGGAACCAGCTGGACCTTGGATCTGCACAATTCCAATAACGTTCGACGCTGATTCCCGTTGGAATTCTATCTGGATCAGGTGGACCTGGGGGCTGCTCAAGTCAAATAATACCCGATTAGGTCCCAACGACGAACGCAATGGAATCAGCTGAATCTGGGGTCCACTCCACCCCAACGAGTTTCCAATTGCATTACAATAGGAATATGTTTGTAATCAGCTGGATCTGCAATCTGGTCAATTGATAAAGGAGTCTCGTCGGGGCTCCTGAGCCGCCGAACCCTAGTTATGAATTCACTGGGATGTTTGGGATTTTTGGGATGGGAGCCCCCGAAACCCTGCGAGTTCATCGTGTGTGTTGTGATTCGGTGAGTTCCTTTGTTCCCGACGAAAAGCCACGGGCCCCGAACCCCAGAGACCCAAAAACATCCAAAGAATGCGATTGGAATCACAAGGTGTCTGGGGTTAACAACCCAGCTCTTGCTTCAGTAAACTAAAAACATACAGTGTGGGGCACTCTGCCGCCACAAAGCCTGCGAATTCACTTGGGCACTTGGAAGTCCGAACGGATCTTGCTGGAGGGCAGAGGATGACACAACCGAAAATATGAAAGTATTAAGCTTCTGGGATTCGCACCCCGGGAATCCCCAAGCAAAAAAAACAAATGCCATCACAAGGGGTAGTGGGTATGTCGTGCCTGCGGAAAGGTCCTTGCTGGCCCGGGTCTCCCTTTTGTGGAGAATAGCTTCTCTGCAAGAAAGAAAACAGAACACAACAAAACAAAACAACCAAAATCAATTAGCCTGGCGAAGGACCCAAACAGATGCAGTTCCAGGTACCGCAGCTGTGTACCGTCTTCGGTGGAGCTCCCTATGGGCCGCGAAACGCTGTACTGCGTGGGGAACGCATGCGAACTTTGCCACTGGGGCCTTCGGTGGAGCCCCCATACGGGGCCACGAAACGCTGTA